TTAGGTCCGGTTTAATATCTAATAAATCTTCAAACGTCCTGTTGTTTTGTGTGCATTAATAACCCTTTGTAAAGAATTAAAATGGCAATGTTTCCCGGGGGGTGTCCCCCCCCGCCCCCCCTGTTTTTTCACGCTCTGGCGGTCGCCTTAACCCACCCCCCCCCCCCCCCCCCCACCATGAAAATCCGTTCCGCGGGCCCTGCTACTATCCCTGGGGAAAATGAGGGACCGACTCATAGTTTACTCCTCTGGTCGACTCCCTAAAATGCTTTTTAGTTAGTAAACCTCCTGTGTACAGCCGCCTCCCCTTTCCCCGCCCCCACCAAAAAAGTAAACTAAAATAACTAAAAATAAACATGATAAATCGGGGAGACAGAGAGCAAATTTGTTTTAGGACACGGGGTAAGTATATGAGTCCATATCTTGAAAAGTAGGACATGAAATGACGAAGACAAGTTTCATTCATTTTATTCGATTTCTACAGGAGCCTATGAATAGGCTCCTGCTTTCTAATTGTACGTTAAACATTTGGTAATCTGGATCTATTCAGGGTTGGCATACGTTATTTCTTACCTGTTCATCAAGGCTGTGAATGTCTTTTAACAACAAAAGTGGCTGTCTTCTCTCCAGAGAATAGTTTGTTTTCACATCAACATTATCAAGGCCTTTACCACACAAGACAAAAATCCTCAAACACGGATAGCGTGTCAAATTATGTTTGCTGTGCGTGCATTTTACTTTTCTGTCCATATTACTGGAAGCAATCGTGCAATTTATTTCTCTTAAATTTTGCTCTTCGAAAGCGGGAAACACGCTATGAATCACCACGGTGACCAGACATATTGTACCAATGAGAAATAAACCAACACCGAGCAAAGCAGTCAGTTTGAATATTGTGCTGCGCATTTTCACGAATGTTTACAGAGGTCGAAGACTCTTGGTTTAGTGTGTTTGTTGTCAAGAAGGAAAGCATCCGAAAAGAAGAACGTGACTCGGAAATCAAGTTATTTTATACAGCGTCATAGTAAACAAATCAGGCAACGTCAATCAAGTAGTCAAGGGTCCCTCCCGGTCCCTTGAGACAGTGACCTCGGGACCGAGGGGACCATAGAAAGTGTCCGTTTTAACAGGCTGCCCGTATTAAACCAATTTAGAGAAAATTCAAGGGATTTCATCAGTCCATGGACAAAGCAATAATGGTAATAATGAGGTGTCTGTGAAGCGGGGTTTGACTATGAATTGGGTACATCTAGTTTAAAGCATTCCCGATTAAAAATATCTTCAACCAGGATTTAAAGCAAATATTCTAATATCAACGGATATAACTTGCGTCAGGGGCTGCGTCAGGGTCTTTTGTTCAGTGGAGGGACGTGGGCGTGAAGGGGGTGTGTCTTAGGCCGGTCTGTTTGAGGCCGCGATGACTTCGGTCAGTGGAAGTCTATCGACCGGTAGGTACTTCATGTATGGGGACGAGTGATCTCAACAACATGGCTCATGGCTCTCTCGAGGTGAGCTTTTTTTTCTTGTTTTAGAGGTTGATTTCGTTATTTAAAGCTACCTTTCTAGAAAAAAATATCTATTTGGCAGTCAAGAACCTTATTATGTCAAGATTTCTAATCAATTATATCTAAAACATCAAGGGAAAGTTCAAATATACGCTGATGTTCAGTGTAGCGTCTCAGCTTATAAAAACCTTTCTTACAAAATGAAAGATAATTTGATGATCGTGAACGTGATGCCATGAACACGGGGACTCTTGGCAATTACTTCATTGGAACTAGTTGGGCATACACGTTTGCAAAATGTCGTTGTTTTTCCGTGTCTTGTACACTATAGATCAATTTCAGTTTTTGCCTAGGCTGTGGTTCACACAGGCAGACCACTGGCAACGTGTGATTACAATAAAACTTTGGCTCAACCTCCTTCTCGTCCGATTGTTGAGAGCTTAATGGGGTTAACCGTCAACCATCAAAAAAGTTTTTATTCTACCATCAGCTGTCAAAAATGCAATGTAATATTACTGCGCTTTTCAAAAACACAAATTCTGAAGTTCAAAAGCCAGGTGACGTTTGCATTTTTCACTGCTGTCAATCGTTCTAGCAGACCTCTTAGGAAACAGATGTTTAATTTAAAGGGTTCCAAAGGTCATGGTTTGTGATTTTTGATTGGTGGACTTCGATGCCTTTTGTGTGTTTTTTGTGTTTCAGGATTCATTGCTTGTGATCGTTATTATGATTGGTAGCAGCAAAAAATGCAATAATTGTGAAGGCGGCTTTTGGACATGAGAGTTCACGTTTTTTTGAAAAGCGCATTAACCATCAACTTTTCAAGGTATTTCAAATCTCACTATTTCAGCTGATCTTCACAGACTTTTGGCTCCTGAAGAATCTCTTAACTGGAACAACCACGGGCCACGTTCTCAAAAACACTCTCTCTGAACATTAAAAGACCTTACAACTTTCTTATATCTTAAAATATTTCAAAATTTTAATTGTGAAATGCCAAGGCAACCTCCAAAACACAACGGTTAATATTAATTTATACCCCAGAAGTCAGTATTTACTTCATTTCTTGGACTAAATTTTTTACTAAATAACCATCAATCATCAAAAGCCCTAAAATTTAGCCATCAACTGTCAAAATTGGATAAAAATAACCGTCAACCATCAAAGCTACCACCCCATTGAGACCCTCATAGTTATTGTTTATTAATTAGTGATCTTAAAAAAATTGTGTTATCCCTCTACAGGCTGTTGTGTCCACAACATATCATTTCTGGGATTGTATGAAGCAAGAAAGTTAATACTGCAGGCATTGTCAGTAGTCCCTGCATACAACATTGTGCACAGTATGTGGAGAATTAGTTCAGTGTTCTCACTAAGAAACTTGCAACACACCATAAAAAGAAGCAACCTTAACACTGTAAGACTATACCATGCAGAAAAAGGCTGCTTTGGATATAGACCCTCCTTACAGGTCACTGATAGAGGTAAGTGTACATGTATGCATGTGTATAGATTACAGGACATAATCATAACTATAACAAAATTCTCAAATCTGATTGGCTATCAACTGCCCTGATTTCAGCCTTAAGGTGACTCGACCCAGTTTTTTTTAGGGGGTACCATCCTACTTTGAAGCTCTCTGGTATCCCCACCTTTACTTTTATCGTAAGTCTAACACATAGAATGGATAACATATAGATCAATCTACAATATAACATAAAATTTTGGGCGATCGGAGTAAATGTCACGTGGTTATAATGCCACGCCCCTTTGAGGTCTGAGTAAAAAACCTGCTGTTGCCGGCATTTTTTCGTGAAAATCTCTCGGCTACACATAGTGCGCATTAGTGCCTTGCGCTGAACAGAGTTTCACCAAAATCGCAAAGACCCAATTCGAGAAATTCAGCGGTTTCCAAATTTAGGTCATAATTTATGCGAAAATGATAAGCAAACTTTACACGGATTATATCTAATAAACTATGAGATTCATCTCTTTATTTTGGGCATCGTTATAACAGATGGGTCCTTGCAAGTCAGCAAAACGCTTTAGGGCCTTGTAAATGCGCGCGATTTCGAGCAAAGCAAACATATAGAAATTATAGTTTTCGCTATTTGTTGACGTTTGTCAGCGTTTAAGAGTCCTTCTCACGAAAAAAGCATTTTCTTAAAAATTCGTAGTTTTTTTTCCTTCAAATTTTTTCAGGGCCACAATTGATTAACTAACTACCCGGACTCTGAATTTCATGGTCATTGAAAAACTGTGACATTATCTTCTATAAGCCCAAACTTGAGTAAACATTGAAGATTTTTAGCGTTTTGGCTGAGTTTGTGCTTTGGGAGTTGTCTATTGTTTCTAGTCTGTCATTATACAGCATTCTTGTTCAGCACGCGTGCAATGACCACGCTTGGCTGACTTCCGAATGCTCACCGAGATATTCCCGTCACGAGTTGGTTTAATTATTGGCTTGCATTAAACCTATGAAAAAATGATATTTTTTTAATAGTAAGTAGATTTAGTGTGTAGCACTTCTTGATTTTTTTGCAAAGGCACAAGAAGCACGAGAATTGATTAAAAATTGTGACTTAAACCTCTATGTATCACGCGATGGCCTGTCTCACTGTACCAAAATTATTATATCTCGGTGAGCATTCGGAAGTCAGCCAAGCGCGGTCATTGCACGCGTGCTGAACAAGAATGCTGTATAATGACAGACTAGAAACAATAGACAACTCCCAAAGCACAAACTCAGCCAAAACGCTAAAAATCTTCAATGTTTACTCAAGTTTGGGCTTATAGAAGATAATGTCACAGTTTTTCAATGACCATGAAATTCAGAGTCCGGGTAGTTAGTTAATCAATTGTGGCCCTGAAAAAATTTGAAGGAAAAAAAACTACGAATTTTTAAGAAAATGCTTTTTTCGTGAGAAGGACTCTTAAACGCTGACAAACGTCAACAAATAGCGAAAACTATAATTTCTATATGTTTGCTTTGCTCGAAATCGCGCGCATTTACAAGGCCCTAAAGCGTTTTGCTGACTTGCAAGGACCCATCTGTTATAACGATGCCCAAAATAAAGAGATGAATCTCATAGTTTATTAGATATAATCCGTGTAAAGTTTGCTTATCATTTTCGCATAAATTATGACCTAAATTTGGAAACCGCTGAATTTCTCGAATTGGGTCTTTGCGATTTTGGTGAAACTCTGTTCAGCGCAAGGCACTAATGCGCACTATGTGTAGCAGAGAGATTTTCACGAAAAAATGCCGGCAACAGCAGATTTTCGACTCAGACCTCAAAGGGGCGTGGCATTATAACCACGTGACATTTACTCTGATCGCCCAAAATTTTATGTTATATTGTAGATTAATCTATTTGTTACCTATTCTATCTGTTAGACTTACAATAAAAGTAAAGGTGGGGATACCAGAGAGCTTCAAAGTAGGATGGTACCCCCTAAAAAAAACTGGGTCGAGTCACCTTAATTGGACAGTTTAATAGGACAGTACGTGTCATGCCTGAGTAATTGGACAGTACGCGCCGCTTAAATGGCTTTTTTCACTACTGGCAAAAAGAAGATCTTGGAATTTCTTGTGTTTTGATTGGAAAAAAGAGCCTTATATATATATATATAAAATTTTGTTAGTGTTATGATTAATTGGTAACAGAACTTCATATCGTCCAATTCGGTCTGTAATCATACTCATGATAAACAAACCGGACTCCCGCTATGCAGTCGTCCAATTTTGTTAATCACTCATATGATTACAGACCAAATTGGACTCCACTCTGTCCTGCTAATTCAAGAATGCAGAAAAATGTACCAGGGTCAAATTTTAAAAAAATCATGGCTTACAGGTAGCCTTGTCCTATTTGTCAAAGGCAAATTATTGTGCAATAAAAATGACATTAAAAGGTCAGCTAAAAACCTGAAAAAAAATGAGATTTAAGTTATGGATGCATGCGCCTTCCTTGAGGTAACAATGCTTTTGTATAATATATAACTTATAGGTAGTGAAGAAGCCCTACAAAATAGAATAAAAAATGCTGATATTTTAAGACTGGTAACTGCTTATAGAGAACATGGATACAAAAATGCTGATATAGACCCATTAAACACACTAAAAAGGTGAGTTTTTTGGCTTAATGTTGTAAACTGGTTAATTTGCCTGCAAACAATTTTTTTTTAACCTGAAATATTGAGGTTATTAATTTTGGCACTATTTTCGACATATAGGGATTCTAAAGAGCTTTCTTTGGAACAATTTGGTTTGGATAATGTTGATGTTAACAAGACTTTCAAATTATCAGGTACATGTACTGGCATAAGGGAATTTTATTGTAATATCTTATACTCTACCCCTTTCAAGGGCCTCCAATGATTTTTCTCAAATTTGCCAGCAGCTAATCCATCAGCGTGCCAATATGTTAATTGTGCCACTAGACTTCAAGTTTTGCAACCTGAAACATGTTATCTTATACGGCTGACAATTATTGTTACATATGTACATGTATAGTCACTTTGAAAATTAAATTAGCATTAATTAAAAGTAAGTATATTTTTGAGATAAACATTGTTACTTATTTATTAACTAGTAAGTAGTTAGTAGAATTACTTGTAACTTTAATCTTGAGACTGAGAAAGGCCCAAAAGTATACATGACTGTAACAATGTTCTACTTTCTAATACAACCATTCTCCTTCAATGCTTTTCCTGTACCTTATAACTTTCTCACTGGCCATTCCCGCAACAATTCTGGTACAGTTACATGTTAGTCAGACAATTTTCATGTGTCCACCCTGCTCAGACACGTTTTCATTGCAATGGATGAAGACACATGAAAATTGTCGCCCAAATGGTTTGCTTCTACAGACGTTGGGGCTGACACCCCCAATGTTTATTTTGAGAATCATGATTCTTGATCCCACTTGCTTTGACTATAAGTTCTTTGCTTGCCTTAATTCTTGATTTCTCGTGTAGGTTTGTTAAACTGTAATGGACTGGAAGAAGCCTCTCTCACAGAAATTCTTCCACACTTAGAAAGAGCCTACTGTGGACAGTTGTCAGTTGAGATACAGCACATTGTGGTATGGAAAAAAAACACGGTCAATCATCAAATTAAAATGCATTTTACAGAGTGACATGTTAGTGGCAGATTAAAACTCAGCTACATCCTTGTTGGACACTAAACCCATGTGAAAGGTTCCCTTTTAGTACACGATGAGAGGTGAAGTCTTTTGACAGATTCTCAGTACTCGTGGCTAGAGGCTTTCCACTCTCTTAAGGGAAATGGTTACGGTTTACCATGGTGTCCGGCATCTCTATTGAGTTAACATAACTCCTTATTGGAAGTGTTACTTGTATGCTGTGTAGTCATGTTTTGCATTTTGGCTGAGCATGTCAGAAAAGTCAGACTTGTGATCTTCAAGTTTGAGCCTTGCCATCAAGTTCTTTTCATTGGAAAAGAAACTTTGTTCCACGTTTATTGGTGGATACTGTTGGAGGGAACCTGGCAATGTGGACTAGAAATCCATCCGGGTAACTTCCCACGCAGGTGTTTTTAGGGGAGCTCGTATTTCTTCCCTCCCCATAAACACCTGCTTAACTGTCCGAGAACAACATTCCTTTCCCAAGCGTAGCCAATCACATTGTACCCTCCAAATTCTGGAAGGTTGAGGGGGAGGGGGGTACTTGGGTTAATTTTTGATGGGTATGTGCAGCTGGCCTCTCAGAGCCCCTACTCCATTATAGTCTATTCTGTGGCCAATCATAGACCCACCCCATCTTAGTCACTTTTGGGCAAATATGTAATTTTTGCAATCCCAACTTAGTGACTTTCTATTTTGATGAATTGACCCATTTTTTAGATTGAATGAAGGACACTTTACTTTTCATCTACAGTAGAAACATTCTGGTATGTTTGCTAACCGAAAAAATGAAGATCTGTCTTACCCCAAAAAATCCGAAAATGTGCGACCCCCACTCGAGTAACTAT